TAAATTAATAAATGTTTTTAATCATTTGTAATAGAAAATTAATTCTATGATGCATCAAATTAAAAAACGGTTCATAATATATATTATATTGGACTTTTAATATATGGCGAAATTACTTAATTCCTTTTGTATGATTTTATGGTTTATTAAGACAACTGACTTTCGATATTTCAATACTTAATAAGGTGAATTAAGCCTGTTAGTTGTAAATTAATAAAAGTTTTTAATCATTTGTAATAGAAAGTTAATTCTATGATGCATCAAATTACAAAACGTTTCATAATATATATTTAAATTTCGCATTTTCTTTGATTTTCATTATTTTAAATTTTTAAATTCTTCCGTTCACATATATTTTTGGTATAATTTCAATCTGGCCGTTCCAGTCATTCCAATTGCAAAACGTCAAAACCTACTAGATCCAGTCAACTGTCAAAGTTCGGTAGGTTTTGACGTTTAGCAATTACTCTCTCACTTCCATGAGAGAGTAGTTGGAGATCTCATTATCTCTGTTATCCATGTCGACGGACCGACGCGGCGAAAGCGTTGTGTGTTGGTAGAAAATCTGAGCTGTGCCAAAAACACAAACGAACGATCGCCAATTGCCACTGCTTCCCTTGCCGCTCTAATAGCTTTACCAACGAACTTGTGTAAATATGTATGAATTTGTATGAGCTTGCATACATATCGATAAAAAACAATAATTAGTATTTCATAAAACAAACCGTGAGATGCAGTAAGATATGGGCAGTTAAGAGGGATGATTTTCATTTAAGCGGAGTACTATTTAACCGGGATTCACTGTACACATAAATCAGAGGAATATTGAACAAGAATAATAGAAACAAGTTTGCGCAATGACGAGTTCAAATTTTGTTCGTTCTGCGCATCTACATCACGGTTGACCAACGTACAATCAGCTGATTTTCATTTGCTTGGTTTTCTTTGCAATAAGAATCAATTTTGTATTGCAGGCATACAAAAACATGAATATCATTAAATATTAACATCAATTTAAGTAAATATTAATAAAAAAAAATATCTATCTGTGATTATTTTATAGTGAACATTTACCTACATATTCAATTCATTGTATTTTCGTTGCATTATTTAATTTTGTCTCTTTGCTGTGTTTGTTTCAACTATCTACATACATTTATGCAAATAAAAATATTGGATATTTTGTGAACTATCAATTTATTGTCTTATTTAACTTTCTTTTTTTGCTGTACATATTTTCAATTAAGTTTTTATTTATAGAACGAATCCTAAAATACATTCTAGCTCTGAAAAACAATTATTTTACTTTGATGCTACAATTAACAAAATTGCTTAAATCTAAGTGCTTCTGGACGTAATTTGTACATATGTATATGCAAATCAGTACCATTTAAGTCGCCAAATACTGCTTGTAAGGCTTTCATATGCTCCAGAACATATCTGTTGGTTTTGAGAGTCCTCCTTTAGATAGGTGATCCACTCAAGTATAAGACGAACAATTTTCTGAATTGGCACGAATTTCGGGGCTGTCTTTACCAAGTTTGTGGCAGATGTACCCTGCCAAATTTTCAAGCCCGTCGTGGTTGAGAATCTTCAAGTTATATTTTTTTTCAATTGGGTCAGCGGAATTTAGATCAACTGACACACGTTGAAAAATATTACCTGCAAAAATATTTTTTATTTTTTTTTATTTTATAAAAGCTTACATAATAATACAATTATTATACAAACTTAAGAAAATACGCAGCACTAGCATCATGGGCTATCGGCCGACTGGTTATATTATATGCGTCGAAGAAGGTCGCTGTCTTTCAAAAAGTTGTAG